ATGTTTGCCTGGTTCTTATTGTTCTCATAGTTATTCATTTCCTACCTCCTTCCAAACTGTATGTATGCTGTGCAGACTTCAGGGCTGGCCATCTTTCTCGCACATTTCTTCCATCAGTGTTTTTTATCATCACTGATTTGCTGTAGTTGCTGAAAACAAGACTTGCCCCTGATGCCTCTTCCTTTCTAAATCAGAGATGGGTAAAGCCAGCTCTTAACAAGTCAGACATAGAAAATGAGCCTCTCCAACGAGAAAAGTGGCAGCAGGAAGAGGTCTCACTAGCAAGATTTGTGCCGTGGGCAAAATCCTGACGGGGTGTCAGTTCCACATGTCCCAGGAACTCGGTCCCTGGCTGCTGCTGATGCCCACCCCCAGTTATTGCGACTGCTGCCACCCCCTGTAAATCAGCGCCTGGGGCCGATGCCTCACTCAGCTACCCCTAATTACTCTGCTGGCAACAGGACTTCTGTTGCGAACTTCCAGTGCCCTTCTCAGAACTGCACCACACCCTAATATGACTGTTTTTAAGATGTCATATCTCCACTAGACTAGCAGAGCAGATCATATCTGCTATGCTGGATCACTGACAGATATTTCTGGTATATAATATTAGCACCAGTGGGAGGTTTTGGGGATGCTAAAATATGGGATTTTCCAGTTCCTGCTTGCCCTAAGTACCTAAGCAATGAGAGAACTTGTTCTGAACACCCTCAAGGAAAGCCTTGTAGGATCAGAACTTCATTGTCTTTCATCTGTCACTCACTTCAGAAGAGTCAGCAAAAAAAACCCCCAAAAATGATGCTTTTTGTTACTCGCCGTTCATCTTACCCTGTGTGGTTTTTAACTGGCTAATCAAGCATTGGGGTGGCTGCCTGCATTTTCTCCCTTCTGATAAGTTATGCCTCTTTTCCTTTCTCCTTTAGGTGTCAGAAGTTCTGCCTGTCTTCAAAGAGATAGAAGTACTGAGATTCCCATGATGTAAGGGGCAAGTTCCTGGTGAGTAGTGGTATCTATTTAGTTTTAAATGAGGAACTTGGGTTTGGTCAAACAGAATAAAAGGGATAGAAGATCAAAGCAAAAGCAAAAACATTTTATTTAAGAAATTTTTATAGGGAGTAAATCTAATGCTGTGGAACCACTCGTCTGTTTTTTGGCATCTCCTGTAAGCCACAAAATAAAGTCAGCAATGTGTTACAGCACAGGCTAAAGAACAATCTTGCTTCAGACATAAACCACATGGATGTATTTAACTGAGTAAAGGGATAACAAAATGGACAACTGGCACCGTCCGAAGCTTGGCTATCATTTACGAGGACCAGCATGCCCCTGAAAGAGAAAATCAGCTTTTCGTGTCATGGAAGAGATGAGGTGCAGAATTCTTTGTTGGCAGAAAGCCTTGTATTTTTAAGGGGAAAGCAGGGGAAGCAAGAGTCCTCTGAATACGCCTGGCTTTCATTGCCCACTTGTGTCATTGGAATAAGGAACAAATTGAGTGGTAAACCTCAGGCCTTGTATCTAGGTCCTCTTAGATCAAACCACATACAGAGTCAATGAGTGGAGCAACTGGCATGGGAAAATAGGAGGCACCGTGAAAAGACCCAGGTGCTGGTTCCAGGGGATCCATGTGCTGTTGTTGCAGAATATACGGGGATCCAAGTTTGTCATGATATAGGAGGTGCTTCTGTTCTTGCTCTCTAGTTTAAATATTAGAGTTTGGAAGGTAGGGAATTAAAATTGGCTGGGTCAAGGAGCCAGACATGGGGTTTATGCTGGACTGTGTCAAAGCTAGGATATTTTTTGCAGTTGTATCTTCTTCAGTTAGACTGTTCTCTATCATTTCAAATTATGCTCTTGGATATTAAAATCAACAAGATCCAGGGAAGTCCAGCTTTTTCTTACACATGCAATGGTGTCTGCTTTTAACTAAAATTCCGCAGAATTTCAGTTCCCCTTTGGCCTCAGTGATATGAAGATTCATCTCTGTTACACCAGTATAAATCCTTTGGCAAAGACGGACCATAGAGAGTACATAATGAGCCATGAGCCAAAGTGGATCTGTACTGGGGAAAGAAACAAGCAAGGAGAAAAATTTATCAACAGGAGTGAGACTGAAAGAAGTGGTTCCATAAAAAAACCTTGCGAGGAAGGGACAAAAACTCTTCAATCAATCATTTCATCACTGTTTCAGTCAATTGTGAAAGTAAAAGACATCAGAAATGTTGAAGTGATGCTGGAATTATGATGGGGGAAGAGATTAATATTTGTCCTCCTTCAGTATCATCTATAGTTCATGTTCACTGTTGGAATCACAAGTGTGTTTTTTTTGCTAGATCACAATGTTTAAAATGCCACCTGAGGTCTGAAATCAGGCTGTGCTTTTTCTGTCTAGTTGCCAAGGTTCAGCAGTTCGAAGGAAGCTCATTCTTATGATGTATGAATCAGAACAGAATCCAGTTCCTTTTTTCTGCAGTCGTATTGGCTCTGCTGTGCCAGAAAGTATAGAAATGTATCCATCCCCTCAAAGTCAGTAGATGTGACTGGAATGGGGAACAGGTATATTAGAAAGGTAGCCTCTTTAGTGAGTCTCTTTCTGAACATAACTGTACATTAGACCAGTGGTTCTCAACCTTTTTAGACTCAGAAAATGCCAGCTTCTAAATTTCACTCATTCAGTTTTGCTCTTGCAAAGAACTCAGAAGAACCACAGCAGAAAGTTTTGGACTCTGTGGGATTCCTATTTGAAATCTCTGGGTTTATCTTATGAATCAGGTGGAAGTTTTTGCACACCTAACAGTGCTAATATTGAGCAGCACCCATAGAAGGATCTTGTCGCACTGTAATTAAGAGTCACTGCATTAGACGGTTGCTTCTAAAGTTTCTTATTCACTTTGCTCTAATTTGCTTTCCAAATCCAAGTGATTCCCCTCCCCCCCCATCCCACTTTAAGATGGTCATAATGCCTCTTCTGGAACTGCACCATTCCTGTACAGTAACAAGCCAGGGCACTGACTTTCCCCCAACGTTAAACATGGTATTTCTCTCTCCTGCGGCCCCAGTAGATAAACTCCTAACCAAGCAGACAGTATTGAATCCCTGTTTTGAAAATTCCCAAGGCCACTTTGCTTATAAATTCCAGCACACTGCTAACATCTGTAAATGGTGGCAACAGGCAC